TCACAGGGCAGCAGGTGGTCGTCGCACTTGCTCAGAAACTGCTCATTGAACTGATTCTGCGTCAGTATCTGCTTGCGCAGGTACTCATTCAGCTCCACCGTGGGCAGACTGAGCACCAGACTGTGAATGTCGTCGACGATTTCATTGCTCGCCTCGCGGTCCCGGCCTTGACGCAGGTGTTTGAGGATACCCCTCGTGGCCACCTCCAGCACCAGTGACTGGTTGTTGATGGCAATTGCCTGCCGTTTCGCCCTCGTCATTCGGTAGTGCATTACCTGACTGGCGCTGACGACATTGTCAGCTGCACTTCTACCACTTTCCAGCGCCAGCTCCCGCTCCAACAGCTCATTTGCCTCTCTTCGCGCCCTGGTCAGCTCCCTCTTCAGCAGCTGATCACTGATGGTAATGTTGCCGACGCTGGCTGGCGCCTCTACCGCCTTCCAGTGGCTAAAGTCCATCGGCTCAAAGATGGACCGCGTGCTGCACAGCTGAAAGGCGTTGAGAAAGGGATCGGAGGAGACCATCGTCTGCGGCTGTACAAAGTCCACGGCGTCGCCGTTGTCGCAGAGGATTCGCGCCAGGGTGACCTTGCGAATTTCATTCAACTGTTCCCGGGTGAAGGCAGACGGTGGCATGTCGTTTTCGTACCAAAAACGGTCGCCACGGCGGAGAAAGTTGAACTGCCGCCCGAGGAGACAGGCAAAGGTGGGGCCGACCAGGGCGCCGCTCATTGGCCGCTCCGACAGGCCGCCCGTGAAGAGGTCAATGTCGCGAACGTCTCTGCAAAAAAACGCGTAAAACACCACATAATTACCGATTTTACTACTTCGGGGAAAAATGAGCACTTACTTGTACAGCCCCTTGAGCTTTTTGATAACATCGGCCTTCATGACAGTGGTCAGATCGTCAAATCTCGTTACAGTCGGCTCTACCTTACAAGATCGCCGATACTCGAGGTAGCCGGGAAGCCCATGATCACGCCCTCGCTGAATGGCAAAGGCGACAAAGTCAAAGCCCTCGCGGGCGTCCTCCGACAGACTGTTGGTCATCTCCTCAGCCACAAAGGGGTCCGCCCCCTTGGCACTCTGACTGATCATCCCCAAGAGGTACTCGTCAAACTTGTTGGCGTACATCTCGCTGGGATTGAAGAACTGCTCGCTCATCTTCATGTAGCCCATGACGTTGAGGTCACGCGAGTACCGTTCCATAGAGGAGGGCATCGTCGTGAAGAGGTACTGCAGCACGGCGTTGGCCACTGCATTGCCCACCGTCGGGTTGACCGTCATGTCGTAGCCGTGGTAGAAGCCGTCAGGCTGCAGGAGCAGTCCGTTCTCTGATCGCGTCTCCTCATTGAGAAGGTAGGGGAGAAACTCGGAGTAGGCGAGGTGCTGCAGTATGGCGCCCACTATCTTTCGACTCTCCTCAAAAAGCTCTTCATCGGTCCAGCCGGGATTTAGCGCCTCCAGTGAGCGGGCAATTCGATTGTGCTCACGCAGAAAGAGCGTGTGAATGATGGCCAGGCCAAGGTTCTCGTTGACTCTAAAAAAAGGAAGAAAAGAGTCAAAAAGTGTCAGTTTAGCAGTTTAACTGGAGCAAAACTACTGTACAAAAGGCCATTGTACAGCCAGGCGTCACTGTAATCTAGTGTACCACTTTGACTTTACCTGTCGTCGCCCGACTTGAAGCATCGCATGTCGCCGGCCAGTTTGCAGTCGAGATTATCCTCCTCCTGCACGGCGAGCATCTCCTTTCCTCGTCCTGCACACACAGGGAAAGGGAAAGAAAGGAAATGAAAAAAGCAAAACGAGGTCATCAGATAGTGAATGTCAATGGTAACAGAAGAAGAGCAGAAGGAGCAGCAGCAGCAATTGTCTGCGGCAATTGTCCACAAAACAGCATCAGCAAGACAAAGCAGCAGCGCCCATAGAGCGCCATTAGAAGACAATTTGCCGACACAAAGGGCACACTTACGATTCAATCGAATGGCCTTCAGCTGACCGCCGGCAAAGGTGCGCAGCGATCGGGCGGTGGCCTTTGAGGAGCCGTACAGCGCCGAGCCGTCGATGAAGGAGGAGGCCTGGTTGATCTGCTCTCTCGGGCCGAGCGAGCACTGGGGACGCACCACCGGACAGGAGCGCACGTACTCGAGGCAGTCCTGACGGAGGCGGCCCATGAAGGCGTCCCCGCTGGGCACGGTGATGGGCATGCACTCGGGGTGGAGGAGGTCGCCCTCCAGCTGACAGCACCGAATGCGCTGGCCGCGAAAGCCCACCGACTGGGCAGAGTGGGCAATGTCGTGGAAGATGAACTCGCCTGAAAATAAACGATTTTAGGATTACTTTGTATCACTTTATTGTGCTGTGTCTACTCCTACCAAAGAAGGTATTGAGCGTGGTCATGTGTGAGAAGGGCGACTCGTGGCCCTGGTGAATGGCCAGCGAGACGGCTCGGGCGGAAGGAAGTGCAGCACTGCCTCCACTGACTGAAGTCCTCGGCGAGGAGACACCGTCGGCGTACCGAGGCGCCAGCCACCGAGCAAATGGGCTATTGGCGGCGCCCCACTCTGCATTCTCCACATTGTTGCAGTGGCCCGAGTAGGAGCGGTACTTGCCCGGGTAGCAGGTCAGCGGCCGGCTGCTGCCCTTCGGACAGTCACTCAGCAGACTGCTGCCCTTCAGACTCATCGACGGCAGGCCAAAGACGATCTGCTCTAGATTCAGCTTGTTTCTAGCCGGG